GGGTCCGTTTACCTTTCACCTGAAATTCTGAGCAGCCTTACGCCGATCCACCATCGCCGAGGAATTGGTCGAGAAATGCGCAAGGTACTTAGGTCCATTTATTCGCGTGTCGTAATGCATGCAATTTTGTCACTCGATGGCATAGTTGACGGTGGCTTGGGGAGTTTCATACAGACTGCCCCCCCAGTTCCGTCCGGTCTTTTATCTTTTAGTCTTTTTCTTTTCTTTTATCATCTTTTATTTTATCTTTAGTATACTGTCTCTTGTGGCATTTGATGATCCGACGTCAAACCGCAAGTTAGCAGCGAAATTGGCGGCCCCTTTCCGTTCTTCTCCCTTTCTCTTAGACATGAGACTGTCATTAGCCATTGTGACTTGTGACGCTGGACACTGCGACTCTCAGGATGGAACTTGTCGAGCTGGAACCCGGTTATGCCCTAATGGTTTCACCGTTGCCTCTACGCGACTGCCCATTTGTCGCGGCTAACATCCATATCTGGATGTCGTTTCCTATCCGCAACCTTGGGGACTCGCCAGATGGCCAGCAGCTTGCAAAATTATCCTGGCAAAATGACCTTCTTCTAACAGGTAATTGTGAGAAATTTTGTCGGTATGTGGTTGCTTAACAAAGTAACTCATAATTGCTGGCGACAGAAAGGAAGGCATTCAGTTATACTTGCCGGTAAGAAGGGATGCATTCCAATTGTATTGGGAATGAGTATATGTGAGTCCAGCTTTTTTTTCATTGTTAGAAAAATTGAAACGTTCCACATTGCTGGCCACTGCTGTCGGCTTCTTGAAAAATGCGAAGCATCATGCGCACTGTAGTGCAAAGACAATGTCGATATCTTCATTTGAATTGCCGGCGTTTCAATCGAACAGGATTGGCCATCCTCAGGACCAGTCTGCCCCGTTTAACTATTTATTGTTCCAGTAAAGATGTTAGCATTGGTCTATGCACTGGATTTAGAAACAATGATAAATCAGTTTTAATGGAAAAAGACCAGGATCAATATGAGTTTTAGAAATCTATTCTACATTAAGTAGCGAGTGAACGTAGTTTAACTATTAAATTATTTTAACTCAGCGCCACAAATCATTTGTTGCTGAGGATTAGCTGAAGAACGATGAGTTCACAACGGCTGACAGTCAGCAGTCAGCAGAATAGTAGTATTCCCGTTGACTGAGAAAGCGCTTAGTCCTGTATAAAGATATTTCTTTCATTAAGTACTATCAAATGCGAAGTCCTTGCAAGAAACAATGCTAAAACAGTTAATAGCGTTTCGAAGATGGTCAGTAATAGAGATTAAATCGGATATCTGATATCGGATTTATTCGGCGTAAGCTCACCGTCCGCTAGCTTCCAGATTTAAACAGGTCTAACAATGATATTAATGATCTATTGAATAGCTGAAGACTAAACTTCGGTAATGAGAAGTACTTTCAATGTATTGCTACAATAAACGGTAATCAACCATAGAAAGCTATAATTTATGACTAAGCGTTAGTTTAACATTGGCAGCTTGCGCTGATGACGATGAGTGTACGGCAAAGTAGCGAATTGCATCAGCTGTAAAATTACAACTTTCTCCTTCAGAGTTTTATAAGTTTTTCAGCGCTTTGCCCATGCATAATGTGGGCAGCTAATCATTCACTTATTAAAGGATTAATTTTTTGATCATTTTTAAAACAGATAGGTGTTTATGTCGCTTACCTAAGTAGAATGGCGATTGACGAGTGTTGACGTTGTCATCGACGTAGATGTAAGCAAGGGTGTTGAACGGGGCAGCAGCGATGCCAGCCAGCAGCTGTGACAAGGCCAGAATGACGTACGCGCCGTTATGCATGAACCGCTTGCATCCCTGGTCGTGGAGGCTGTCCTCTTGCTCGGCGAGGGTTCGGTCCGGGTTGCACGTCGAACTGTTGATATACTCTTCCTGACCGTCGATGAACTGACGGTCGAACGAAGTTGGACCAAAGAGGAAATTTGGCAGTGCCAGCATGAACATGGCCAGGCCGCTGAGCAGCACCCCGACGCCGGTGCAGCGTGGCTTGTGGCGCTGTGCCAGGAAGTGACCGACAAACAGCACCGTGGTCGTGTGGCCGATGTCGTACATGGACAGCAGCGTGCCAGACATTGAGCTGGAGATCTCGAAGCGTTTCTCGATGTTCGTCAGCACGCCGACCGCGTAACCGAGGTACGTGCCCTGCACAGCGATCACCAGACACATTATGAACGTGAACAACCGGATGTCGGCCAGCCGTTGAATCGACCGCGGTTTCCAGCACAGCAGGCCGCACTTTTCGTCGTCCACCGTAATCGGGGGTCTCATGCTGAGGCCAACGTGTATCACAAGCCGCGTTTACTCCTCGTGCGGGCGCTGCAAACAAATTGATTGCATTCAACTGCTTGATGGTACCTCACCTCAATCGTCTGTCGCAGTAACGGTAGGTGCGGAGAGGTTCTCGCGAATACAGCGCGCATCACACTGACCGACTGACTAACGAGGGCACAAAGCTGAGAAGCACACAAACGAGACTGTTATCGAACGAGCTTCGATTTCTGTTGTAATTTAAGTTAAGTGAACAAGAACAGGCACGCACCTCCACCTAAGAAATTAAAATATGGAGAGTGAGTTATTATTCGTATAATAAACACAGTAACAACATATAAGCCGAATTTAGTCAGCATCGTTCGACACTTGGAGGAAACAGGCTGTTTTAGATTTCTGATGATTAGACTTAGGTTAGGCTTAGATTACATTTTTGGATGTTGCGCGGTTTCCCGAACAAATAGTCCCCAAAATTTCACTATTTACGACACTCAGCCTGCATTCAATGGGCGTCGAGCATGATAATTCAGATTTTTTAAGGGCAAAATATATCAACCAAAAACGCTATGCTAAACTTTATCATTCAAAGCGCAATATCAAATCCATCATTAATCCGACTTCGCAATCACTGTCGCCATTCGATCAATTGTATTTGTCACCGGCATGATATTTTTGGTGCATCAGTGGCACATCATTCAAAAGAATGTATCCGTTTGAAGTGGAAAGAACCTTGACTGAATGATAGATATGAAGGCCATCAGCCTTGATGGAGCACCCATGAAAGCGTGGAGAGCATCGAGACAGGAAGGCAATAAGGGGTCAGTTCTTTATATCAATCAATGCAAAAGGATGAGCGTGCTTGCAGAAATAAATGCTTGCGAACTTGATAGAAAAGTTAGAAATAGTTCAATGAGTGGAGTCTGAAACCTAAAATTTTAAATGATGTATTTTCGAATTAAAGTCTAGTACTAATCTGTCACTCAGCTTAGAGTGTTGTATTTTTGTACTTACGAAGTGATTTGCTGCCTGGTGATGTTACTGCATTTGCAGAGAAACTGGATTGGAATAAACCATTTAAATCTGTGTAGTTTCAAGCTCTCAACCATGAATCGACGAACAATCTACAATTTCAACAACGGACCCAGAATCGGAAATGTTATGTCGTATTTAGAGAAGAAGAGTATTTAAACGCAATCGTGAACATTGTGATGTAACCTAATAAGCTGTAAAAAGAATCAGAAAAATATATATATATGAAAGAATGATAGGCAGAAGTTTGAGGAAAGAAATCGACGTCATCACAAAGCAGGTTTTATGTCAGGTCGTCCAGCAACAG